GCTAGGAGTTACTCTTGATTTCTTTCTTTCTTTTTTTTTTTTTTTTTTTCTGTGAGGAAGATCAGCCCTGAGCTAACATCCATGCTAATCCTCCTCTTTTTGCTGAGGAAGGCTGGCTCTGAGCTAACATCTATTGCCTATCCTCCTCCTTTTTTTCCCCAAAGCCCCAGTAGATAGTTGTATGTTATAGTTGCACATCCTTCTAGTTGCTGTATGTGGGACGTGGCTGCAGCATGGCCGGAGAAGTGGTGCGTCGGTGCGCGCCCGGGATCCGAACCCGGGCCGCCAGTAGCGGAGCGCGCGCACTTAACCGCTAAGCCATGGGGCCTGCCCTTGATTTCTTTCTGAAATCCTCAAGTCCCATCCATCCTGCCTCCCTCCCTTCTACAAATTGACAGGGTTGTCTTCACAATCAGGGCCCTGTACTCGGATTCACATTTGGAGTTTAATATTCTGTGATCATAGTCTTAAGATTCTTAATAATTTTGTCTTTGAATATGTGTTTATTTTATTGAGGTTATATTGGCTTATAATATTGTGTAAATTTCAGGTGTACATTATTATAAATATTTTCTGTATAGACTGCATTGTGTTGACCACCAATAATCTGTTTTTTATCTGTCACCATACATATGTGCCCCTTTACCACCCCCCCCTTTTTTTTTGTGAGGAAGATCAGCCCTGAGCTAACATCTGCCAATCCTCCTCTTTTTTCGCTGAGGAAGACTGGCCCTGGGCTAACATCCATGCCCATCTTCCTCCACTTTATATGGGACGCTGCCACAGCATGGCCTGACAAGCGGTGCGTCAGTGCACGCCCGGGGTTCCGAATCGGTGAACTCCAGGCCGCCGCAGTGGACTGCCTGCACTTAACCACTGTGCCACCAGGCCAGCCCCCGCTTTACCTTTTTTGCCCTTCCCCGACTCCCTTCCCCTCTGATAACCACTAATCTGTTCCCTTTATCTATGTGTTTATCTTCCAAGTATGACTGACATCATATGGCATTTGTCTTTCTCTGTCTGACTTATTTTGCTTAGCATAATACCTTCAAGGTCCATCCATGTTGTTGCAAATGGAACAATTTTGTCTTTCTTGTCCTGTTAATTATAGCTATTCTGATGGGCGTAAGGTGATATCTCATTGTAGTTTTGATTTGCATTTCCCTAATAATTAGTGATGTTGAATATCTTTTCACGTGACTGTTGACCATCTGTATACCTTCTTTGGAAAAATATCTGTTCACATCCTCTGCCCATTTTTTGATCAGATTGTTCATTTTTTGTTGTTGAGTTGTATGAGCTCTTTATATATTTTGGAAATTAACCCCTTGTCAGATATATGATTTGCAAATATCTTCTCCCAGTTGGTGGGTTGTCTTTTGATTTTGTTGATGGTTTCCTTTGCCGTGTAGAAGCATTTTAGTCTGATGTAGTCCTATTTGTTTATTTTTTCTTTTGTTTCCCCTGCCTGAGTAGACATGGTATTTGAAAAGATACTGCTAAGGCTGGTGTCAAAGAATGTACTGCCTATATTTTCTTCCAATAGTTTTATGCTTTCAGATCTTACATTTAATTCTTTAAGCCATTTTGAGTTAATTTTTGTGTATGGTGTAAGATAATGGTCTACTTTCATTTTTTTGTACATGGCTGTCCAGTTTTCCCAGCACCATTTATTGAAGAGACTTTCCTTTCTCCATTGTATGTTCTTGGCTCCTTTGTCAAAGATTAGGTGTCCCTAGATTATTACTGGGCTCTCAATTCTGTCCCATTGATCTATGTGTCTGTTTTTCTGCCACTACCATGCTGTTTTGATTACTATAGCTTTGTAGTATATTTTGAATTCAGGGGCTGTGATACCTCCAACTTTGTTCTTTTTTCTTAGTGTTGCTTTGGCTATTCAGGGTCTTTCATTGTTCCATATAAACTTACATGAATCAGTGTTTTTAAGTGAAGTCTAATGGGACAGTGGGGCATATACTCACCTCCCCTGGACATGTTCTTCACTTCCCACTGCTCACTCCCCTGCTGGCACCCTGGGCCCTGCCTGGCATCCCCCTCCCCAGTCCCATCCAGTGACACCTGCCACTCTCTGCCCCTGGTGGGAGCCTAGATACAGGGATTGTAAGAGTCAGGCACACATGCCCTGCAGTGTCTGGCTTAGGGTATGGCAGCGACACCCCACCTGGGCTGGCAGCACCACGGCACTGTTCAGTGGGCAACCAGGTGGAGGTGAGATTGCCCCCTGCCAACAGGTAGCTCGTGGAGATATTGCATGGAGGGTGCAAAGCCCTTGAGGGTCACTCATGGGACAGCAGGCCTGCGGGGAGAAAAGATGCCTGATTTGACTTCCCCACCTTCCTCAGGGGCATGAGGCATCTGACAGCATGTGGGAGGGGGCCTCTGTCAGGCCCAAGCTTTACACAGGTGTCCAAGTCATGCAGAAGCCCTGGGAGCCTTCTACACTCACCTTGTGCCCTGTGCCAAGAGAACATTCCCTCAGGTTCCATGTCCTGGAACTTGATGTTCCATGCCTGGGGGGACCTTCTCTTCCTTATTCCAGACTTCCTGAGTCTGGCTTGAGGCACCGTCTGGGGATGAGCCATGAAATACAAATTGTGTAATTTCAGTGATTCTGCCTTAGAGCTAAATGCTCTATTTGTGTTTAAAACTGGCATTGTTCAATATAAAGACGAATGGTAAAATCCATGCTAATACATTTGAAATTTTGTTTTATTTTGAATGATATTAAATGGCAAATAAAAAATATCATGGCAAGTCCAGAAAGAGAGAGACTGTGGAAGAAAAGGAAAAAGCTTTATATTTTAGTACCTTTAACGGGATGTCTCCCCTGATTTTTGAATAAGGGGCCCCATTTTCATTTTGCATTGAGCCTTGTAAATTATGTAGCTGGTCCTGGAGCCCGGTCTGCAGGGACCAGGTACTAAGAGCGGGAAATTCAGAAGTGACCAAAGCAAAGCCCCTGCTCTCATGGAGCTTATAGATGAGTAGAGGAAACAAGATGACAACTAAGTCGTGAAATAAGATAGAGAGAAAAATGAAATAAGATTCAGTTTATGATAAGCGCTCTCAAGGAAAGCAGCAGGTTAGAGAGATAGACCGTAATTGGAGGGGGCTCCTGAGATGGCGGTATGGGGAGGCAAATACCTCCTCTTCTCCTCACCACCATCACGGCCTCCTGGCCTCAAACTGGGCTCCCTGACTCTTAGTGCCCCCTTAAATCCATCACTACACGGTCACGTGACTCATCTCTCTAAACAAAGTCTCGGTATTTCACGTGCACTGTATGTTTTTCCGTGCCCTCTGTCCTCTTGACTGTGGACCCTGAGCGCATTCACGCTGACGTCTTCAGACTCGCTTCTTGGCATTGCTGCTTCTCCTTAGCTCAGTAACGCTGAGCGTCTTGCAGGCGTGTGCGTAAGTCATATTGATTTTCACCTCCCTGCCTTTGCTGCTCTTCTTCCCGAACCTGAATGCCCTCCCTTTCCCTTCTTGCCATCCTTTATGACAATTCAGCTGTCACTTTCTCCTCCTTTCTGGATCCCTTCCCGTGGCATCTTGTGAATAACAATAATAATATCGATGATAATATTAATAATAGTATCATTATTATTCACAAGATGCCACGGGAAGGGGGTCTAGAAAGAAGGAATAACATTTAATGTTATAATAAATGACATTTTAACGTTAATAACAATTCCAGGCCTTGTGCTGAGCACTCAACGTGTATTAACTCACATAGCCCTCATAATAATCCTGGGAGGTATGTGTTATTATCCATTGCCATTTTATTGAGGCACAGACAAGTTAAGTGACTTGCCCAAGGTCACACACCAAGTAAGTAGAGGAGATGGGATTCAAATCTAAGCATTTCTGGCCCCAGAGCCATCATTCTTACCAAAAATGCTATACTGCCTTTATCCTTACTGCGCCTTTTCATTGTGTATTGTGTTTGGAATGGTTTCTCCGCATGTCTATATCCCTGATAGACTAATACTTTGAGGAAAGCGACAGTGTTGTACTAACTTTTGTCTCCCTAGTCCCTGGTACCTACTAGGCTTTCAATAAATGTTTGTTGAACTATTAAATTTGAATTGAATTGGCCTTGAATGAAAGATCATAAGATCATGAAGACATGATCACTTTACCAAGATCGAGAACCGACATCTCACTGTATTAACACCCCTAATAAGGATACACCCAGAAACAAATAAGTACTTTTTTGAGAATAGATGTATTCATGCAGACATAATCTATTCATTTGCGATTAAGGATTGTCTTTAGCCAGTTTTGAGAACAATAACCATTATAGTTTTGCATTTGACTATTTATATTACTTAGAAAAAGATTTTTGGTCACTATTGCTTTTGTTAGAGATTCAAAACATTTACATCTTTCTACCCTTACCCTATAAGTTCACTCCTTTGTTGTTTCTGAGTAGGTCAGTGGAGCACAGTTTTTCTTGCCCTTCTGACTCGGTGTCTACAGCTTCTGTAGGGCCAGGCCCATGGCTGTGCGTTTCAACAGTGACTGAATAATTGGCCTTCTCAGTGGTGGGATTGGAAGGAGCTTTGGTACCCTGGCTGCATTATTTCGATCACCCATCACTAGACTAAGCTTCCACCTTTAGGAAGATTCTTCTTTATTATACCCTGCTAAAGGAGCAGCAATATTAAATATGCACATATGTAACTTGGGATGAAGCATATTAGCACTAGCTTGTTCATCATTCATTCATTACTGAGGCCAGTGAGCCTTAAACGTTTGCGTCTCCTGAGGGATGACATACAGGCTGGTACTGAGAGAGCGTGGGGTGGCAGAGGAAGCCACGGGAGAACCATAGCCAGGGTTGGAGATTCATTATTTCTCTACATTTTGCTTGGGACTGCTTCTGCTAGTAGGAAAAGTATAAAAAGTACACTCTATACTACAAAAAAAAAATCACCTAATGATGACCAATAACTTTTGTCTTTTATTTTCAGAGACTGTGAATACAACAGTACCATTCTCCTTCAGGGGAATACGATTTCCTAAGGTATTGTTCAAGAGTCGTTTTGTATTTCCTTAACCTTTTGCAGTAACAGATGTGTTAAGAATTTGAAACAAACAATGTACAACTTCTAAGAAAAGTGATTCAAGGTTAAGATATTCAAGATTTGGGGCCAGCCCTGTGGCATAGTGGTTAAGTGCACGCGCCCTGCTACTGGCGGCCCGGGTTCAGATCCCTGGCACGCACCAACGCACCGCTTGTCAGACCATGCTGTGGCCGTGTCCCACATAAAGTGGAGGAACATGGGCATGGATGTTAGCTCAGGGCCAGTCTTCCTCAGCAAAAAGAGGAAGATTGGCATGGATGTTACTCAGGGCTGATCTTCCTCACGAAAAAAAAAATATTCAAGATTATTTTTTCACTTTTATTTGGTTTTGGGCATCTTGCTATTTCTTCTTTCTGTAGAATATAGAAATATGGAAAAGTTACACACAAGAAAGTTCTTTTTTTACTTCCTTTTTTTCCTCTAACAGACATGGCCAAAAGTAATGCAAATGCTCATTATTAGTTTGTTGAATGATCTTTGGGTGATAGCACTGTATGGCCACTGTGTATAACTCAAGAACTGCCTCCATGAATAATAATGATGTAAATTTTGGAGATTTGCATTAGATACCTAGCAATGAAATTGTGCACATTTCACTTTTGGTGACTATTTTAAAATAAACTTTAACAATGCATATTCTTTACCTATTTTGTTACAAATGATATCTAATGCTTGAAAATCTCATAGGCTAGTTTCAAAAAATTGTTAAAAAACATCCTCTCATAATTGGGAAATAAATGGGTTTTATGCTCGCTGAATTCAAATGCATACAAAGTTTCATCTCATTAGAAAACTGAGAAAATGATAACCAATTCAATTTAAATGGCTTCCTCCTAGAAAGAGAAAATTCATGTAAAAGTCTTACAAAAGAAAGCATCTAACATTTTATATTGCTTGTGTTTCTTATTCCTCATTTTAGGGACTATACAGATGTGTTGCGGAAGCCATCGTTGGGAATGCTGAAGAAATGCTCTTTTGTTTGAATTTTACCCTCTTACACCACCCTCACTTGAGTTAGAATAAATTGAGTATTTTTTTTTCAAAGATTTTATTCTCCACTTAAAATCTTTTTTGCACAGTGTATTATTTTGCTAGGGCTTCCATAACAAATACCACAGACTTGGTGGCCTAAACAACCGAAATTTGTTCTCTCACAGTTCTGGAGGCTAGAAGTCTGAGATCAAATGTTGGCAGATTTGGTTCCTTCTGAGGCCTCTCTCTGGCTTGGAGATCGCCTTCCTCTCCATGTGTCTTCACATGCTTTTCCCTCTGTGTGTGTGTCCTAATCTCTTCTTATAAGGACACCAGTCATATTGGTTTAGGGCTCACCCTAATGACCTCATTTTACCTTGATCACCTCTTTAAAGACCCTATCTCCAAATCCAGTCACAGTCTGAGAGGGGGGTTAGGGCTTCAGCATATGAATTTTGGGGGACACAATTCAGCCCGTAACAGACAGGTAATGCAATCTTTTGAATGGGTCGACTTGCTCCATTCCCTGCCTCTGTTCTGGGGCAAGTTACCAGCATTGCTCCCCTGGACCACTGTGCTGCCTCCTGGCTGATCTTCCTCTGCACCTGGTCAGGGTCCTCAGGTAAAGCTTGTTCTCCACCAAGGCCGTTTCAATAATCCTTTCAAGTTACAGGTCCAGTCACGTCACCACAATGCAAATGGAACAAAACGAAACAAAAACAAACAAGGCCCTTCCTGTGGCCTCTGATTCCTTTTGGGATAAAGTTGGAATCTTTTGGAGGGCCTGCCAGGCCCTGCCCATCCTGTCCCTCTCCAGCCCCTTCTCCCGCGCTACCCTCCTCTTGCTCTCTTGTTCCAGAACGTGCCATACTTCCTCCCACTCCATGACCTTTGCCTACACAGGTCTCTCTGTCTCAACTCCACTCCTCCCCTCTACCCTCCCCTCACCCCTTCACCTCTGTAATGGGTTGGATCTTTCTTGGTTTAGCTGCTACTTTCTCAGGGAATTATGAGCAGGTAGCATGGAAGGCACGTCTTACACTTTTGATACTGGGCAGAGGCAGTTTTGAGTAAAATTGTAGAGAAATTATGTAACCTGGAGCCAGGCTACCAGTCTCCTGTGGCTTTCTCGGCCCCCAGATCCTTTGTCTGCATCCACCTTTATCTCATCCAGGCAGGGCCCGCTTTCTTTGTGATTGGCTTTGGTAGACCTGTGTCCCTGCCATCCAGCACTTTACACTCATTTTGTCATTATTTCGATTATCCATCGCTAGACTAAGCATGTGAGCCCAGCCAGGGTGGTCAGCTCAGTGTTGCTCACCATTCTTGATCCAACACCTAGCAGTGTACCTAGGCTTGAATTTGCTCTCAATCCTTATTTGTTGAATGGATAAATTAACATTTTCTTTTTGTAAAATATTCAAACAATATATAACTATAGAAAGCAAAATGCAGTCACTCGACTAATCTTTATGGAGCACCTTCTGTATGTCAGGCCCTGTTCTAGATGCTGGGGGTACAGCATCTAACATTCCAGACAAAAAGAGTCCCTGCCCTCATGGAGCTGACATTTTTGTGGGAAGAGACTGATACAGTAAATAAGTAAATGACAGAGGACCTTAGAAGCAAACATGCTCTGTCAGTGCTATGAAGGACAGTAAAGCAGGGGAGGGACATGGGGACTCAGGGAGGTGGTGATGGTTGCGGTTTTAAATGGGATGGACTGGAAAGGCCTCCCTGAGATGGTGATATCTGGAAGAGATGAGGGAGCAAGCCATGTGGTTTTCTGGGTGTAAAGGCATTGCAGGTTGAGAGAACAGCTGGTGACCAGGCCCTGGGGTCAGAGTATATCTGGTGTGTTTGAGGAAGAACAGGGAGCTGTTCAAGTGAGGTGAGTGAGGGGAGATGAGATCAGGGAGGTGTGTACGTTGGGGGGTGGGTAGGCACATGCTGTTGAGTTTGATAGGCCACTGTCAGGACTTGGGCTGTTGCTCTGAATGAGATGGAAGGCCACTGGAGGGTTCCATATAGGACAATGACATCAGCTCACATTTTATTTTATTTTTTTTAATAATTTTATTTATTTATTTATATTTTCCCCCAAAGCCCCAGTAGATAGTTGTATGTCATAGTTGCACATCCTTCTCGTTGCTGTATGTGGGACGCGGCCTCAGCATGGCCGGAGAAACGGTGCGTTGGTGTGCGCCCGGGATCCGAACCTGGGCCGCCAGCAGCGGAGCGCCTGCACTTAACCACTAAGCCAGGGCGCCGGCCCTCAGCTCACATTTGAAAAAGGCTTATTCTGGCAGCCATCTGCTCATGCATGGGAAAAAACTGGGGAGCTTTTTGTGGTAATCTAGGGAGGGAAGGAAGGAGGAACTTGGGAGCCTTTTGAAGTAATCCAGGTGAAAGATGATGGAGGATATGGCGAGAGGTGATCCATGCTGGATATATTCTGAAAGTAGAGACAACTGCAAAAATATATTTGCTGATGGGTTGGATGTAGAATATCAGACGGAAAGGAGTCAGGGACGATTCCAACTTTTTTTCTTGAGCAAATGGAAGGATGGATTTGCCATTACTTAAGAGAGGGTAGTCAAGGACGGGCAGGTTTTAGGGGGAAAACATCAGGAACTTGGTTTTGGACATGTTGAGACATCCATTGGATATCCAAGTGGAAACTTTGAGAAGGCAATGGATCTATGAGTCTGAAGTTCAGGAAAGAGTTCTGGGCTGGAGATAAACATTTGGAAGTTGTCGACATATAGAGAGAAGGAGTGCAGGTAGAGAAAATAAGAGGTCCAAGGACCGAGCCCTGGAGTACTCCGTCATCAAGGTGTTGGGGGCTTAGGAGGAACCAGTGAAAGAGGAGAGGCCATGGAGGAAGGAGGCAAACCTGGAATGCTGGCCTACGGAAGCCAGGTGAAGAAACGGTTTCAACTATTTTGATCTGCTGATATGTTAAATAAGATGAAGACCGAATGTTGACTTTTGGATTTTGCAATGTGGAGGTCTGTGATTTGATAATGTCACCAATAGAGAGCCCTCTAAATCTTCCAAGCATGAATTCCAACCCAAATGTGGGGATCCTATATTAAGCTCTCCGAGTAGCCCTGCGAAATCCTCTCACTAAAGTTTGAGGGCGGAGTCCTTACCCAGCTTCCTTTCACTTTTTAAGGAGAAGGGTTTGGGCATGGGGTCCAGAGCACAGCTTTCTCCAAAAACACCCTCCACAAATCTTCTCCTTTAGATTCTTCCTTGGATTGAAAGGTCCCTTGACCTTTTTCTATACTTGAGGTAAATACTTTTTACTAAGTGATGTAAATACTTTCTTTGCTTGATGTATTTTTTACGTGCTCAATGTCCATAACCTATTCTACAGCTCTTGAACTCTTGAGGGGCTTCAAGGTTGTGGAGTGGGTTATGACATTTCCTATTCCCCAATTCTGTTCTGCCGTATGCCACATCCCTAGCTCCGGGAATGGATCCTGATTTGCTAGATCAGCCAGTGTGGGGTATTCCCTGGGGGACTGTTATTGTCCAGGTTGGGCACATGACTGCAGTTGGCTCAATCAGACTGCAGCGAAGAACTAGAATTCCTTGGCTGTCTTACTGGAAGTAAACGAGGAGGGATGTTGCCTCCATTTCTGCTGACAATCCTCTGATGACCGTAGGGGGAAGCAGACTTAGCTGAAGCTGATGCTTGGACAGAAGGGAGGAGAATTAGAAAGAACCTGAAACTCTACAGACACTGTTGAGTCATTGAATTGACTAAGCCTGGACCCTGCCATACTTCTGGACTTTCCTGTTATTGGTTTAATGAGTTGGATTCAGGTTCTATAACTTGCAGCTGAAAGCATTTTAGTTGATTCACAGCTCATTGTCTGCCCCATCCAGAAGTCAGGCTAATTTCAAATTCTGGCTCTCCCTCTATTCCCTTCTGACTTTTTCCATTGCTTTTAACCCTTCCATTGCTGATGCTTGTGAGGCCCACTTATCTATTAGGTACAGAGGGCACAGTGCTCAGAGCCCTCAAAAATGTTTTAATTTTAATTTATCTTAAAATAAGAATTTAAAAATGAATATAATGACAATGTACATATAGTAATGAAACTAGTCTGGATTATATTCATCTTTATACCTGGGCAATTATAAAATGTAATTTTTTTTTCTTTTTTTGTGAGGAAGATTAGCCCTCAGCTAACATCTGTTGCCAATCCTCCTCTTTTTTGCTGAGGAAGACCGGCCCTGAGCTAACATCCGTGCCCATCTTCCTCTACTTTATATGGGATGCTGCCACAGCATGGCTTGACAAGTGGTGTGTTGGTGCACGCCCAGGATCCGAACCTGTGAACCCCGGGCCACCGAAGCGAAGCTTGCGAACTTTAACTGCTACGCCACCGGGCTGGCCCCTAAAATATAATTTTTAATATATATATTTTTTATGCAGGATAGGGCCCATGAAGACAAGAGTGCCTAGGCCCCATGAAAGATGTGATGCGGCCCTGGGTGTTGGTTACCACATTCTCTGCTTTGGGGACTTTTGCTCATATTAGAAGGAAGCTAGGTGAATAGCCTTCTTCAATATTTGTTTAATGCCTACTGTCTCACAGGCACTGGGCTAGGCCTTGAGGATACAGGGGTGAACAAGATAAACAAGAACAGTTCCCTCCTTCACAGAGTTTTTGATCTAGTAGGAAAACCAAACAACAAGACAGGTGATTATTATAAGATATGATAGGGGTCACTATTGGAGGGGCAGTCCAGGGTGGTGAGGGAAGAGACAAGTGGAGAATTGCATAAAGTTTGGGGGATCAGAAAAGGTCTCCTGGAGGCAGTGACACTGAGGGTGAGAGTGGGAGGATGAGTTGGAATCAATCAAACAAAGTATATTGCAGATGTAGAAAAGAGCAGGTGCCAAGGTTTAGAGGTGAGAGAGATGGCATATTCAAGATGGTGAAAACATCTAATGATACTACTAGCCAACCGTTATTGATGCTTCTCATGTCAGCTGGTGGGCGCTTTTCTAGGCATTTTGCATATAATAAAGCATTTA